CCTCAGCGGTTACGACCACACACTGGGCAAAACAGGACACGTCCCCAAAGCCCTCCCCAAGGCACTCGCCTACTTTGGTATTACCGGAAGCAAGGCGGAGGACGTTGCAGTGGAGCTGTGCGCCGCGGTCCTCGCGCACCACCACGAATTATGGCGCAAACGATGCAGCCTGCTCTACGAACCGACAACCCTTAAGAAGGCAAGCGACAAAGCGTTCACAGAAACAAACGGCGGTTAAACCCCGAACCCCCGAAAAACCGGTGTGCACAGGGGGGGTAAAACCTCTGACCCGCCACGGCGGGCACCCTGTCGCCGTCTTCAAAAATCAAAATCAAAAAAATCTTGGAGCTCGGCGCCAACCGACGGCGATGACGGCGATGAAGTCGATGTCTTCTTGTCGAGCAGCTTCTGCTTGAGCCGCTCCTCCTCGATGGCCAGCTTCTTCTGCCGCCTGCGCTCCTTGATGTCGTGCATGTACTTCCGGTTCCACACGTCGCCGTCCTCCAGGAAGTACAGATCGTAGGGCTTGTCCCTCTTGTTCCAGTCCCGCACATTCGACTCCCGCACCTCCACCCGGTCGTCCCTGTCCCACACGCCCTGCGTAGCCACCACCATCACGTTAGTTACAGTGTGTGTGTGTGTGTGTCGTGTGTGTGTGTGTGTGTGTCGTGTGCACATGTGTGTTGTGTGTCGTGCGTACCAAGAACCAGGTGCCGTCGGGCCAATCCATTCGGCCCTCGCCCTGTCGCAGGCCATGATCCCACCCGCCTTTGTATACACTCCCATCGGCCCACGTGTACGTGCCCTACAGTCCAGAGCGCGGTCAGTGTGTGTGTGGGCGTTGCACTCACGCACACACAACGACTGTACGCACCTGGCCGCGCTTCTCACCGGCGTGGTACTCGCCGTCGTAGCTCCGCCCATCGAACCACGTGTTGACGCCCTTGACCTGATTGCAGTTCTCCCACAGGCCCGTGAAGCTTTACCACATTTTTGTTAAAAACTAAAACGCCAATGAAACCAACAACGAAATGATAAATAATATAACAACTAAATTATCAAATAACACCCACAATAATAACAAAA